AAAATACCATAAGAGGAATTTATCAGAAAAAACTTTGAAAACCAATAGGGCATAAAGAAAAATATATACCAACAAAATTTTGTGCTGTCCAAAATTCTAGAAAGTAAGGGCAGAGAAAATGATGTTATCAAGGAAATTATACCTAAAAGTTTATCAGACCAGAAGTACATGTTCTATGGGTTTGAAGGACTCACTCATGCCCAGTTCAGAGGGCGAGAGAGATGTGCAGATAGGAATCTGAAGCATGATGAAGAGAATTCAGACCCTTCTGACATGACAGAACTGAGAATCGGGAGGGAGGCTGGTCTGGCTGCTCTGGCTGCTTGAAGGAGAGCAACAGCTGTACTTTAAAGCCAGTCATGACAGCCATGTACTCCCAGCACTGAGGTAGGAGGCAAGCAGGAAGACCAGCCTGAGCTAGGAAGTGGGGCCCTATCTCAAATAGCCAACCAAAGAAGCTCTGGAACACGCTTCTCTCCCACATGTCCATGCTCTGGACTATCATCCATCAAGTTGGAGACATCTTCAGACAAAAAAGCCTGAAAATGCTGCTTCCTATGAGCCCTTTTTCAGGAAGCTCCTGGGTCCAAACCAAAGAGGGGGAAAAAAAGAGATTTAGGATGTGAGGCGCTTAACAGAAAAAAGGAGAGAAAAGACTGTTTCACCATAAAGGGTACTGTCCTAAGACACAGTTGAACAGGAGCTCCAAGAAACTGCAAGTTCAGCAAAAGATAAAAATGGAGGAACTGGGGGTTGGAGAGATGACCCAGCTGTTAAAGGCACTGGTTGCTCTTGCAGAGGACCTGGGTTCAGTTTGCTTCTCAGCACCCCCATGCAGCTAACAACCATCTGTAACTCCAGTTCCAGGGGATCCAACGCTGTCTTCTGACTTCTGTGAGCATTGCACATCACAGGTGCACTTACATGCATGCAGGCAATATCCATAAAATATATACTCATATACATAAAATAAAAATTGGAAATACAATAAAAAGAAGAGAGGAACTAAATGAGGCAAATATGTCACTGAAAGGAGACCATTATTGGCAAGCCAGGTTTAGAAAAACAATTGCTAGGTAACAGATATCAGACAAATAGAAAGTTTAATATGAGGAACACTAGGCATTGTATAAATAAGAATAAACCTTCTAGAAACAATTAGGCTCAGGAATTGCTTTTGTTCAATCACTACAGCAACAGAATAGAAAGTTGTGAAGACTGAAGGAAAGGGAGCAGAAGCATAGAAAACCAAGTCTTATTTGTCATAAAAGGATGGCAAATGCTAACACCTCAAATTGGGAGATGAATGAATAAATGAAATAATGTAAGCATCTACTGAGGAAGATGGAGCTAAACAGCATAGGAAACAGCTGGAAGAGTTAAGGGTGACTGCAGCTTGGCATAAGACTTGCCTGGACTTGCAGAGCAATTGCCACCTCTCATTCTGAGCCTTACATTTAATACAATTTAACTTTAAATATGTGCTGATGCTATTTTAAAAATTCAAGGCTGTGTGGCTCCAATCCAGCTCCTCACACAGTAGGCTCTCAGAGGTACGTTTGGAAGGAGAAACCAGTGGGCCAGGATGGTGGTGAAGAATAAGACTGGGCCAGGCCTAGAAGTCTGCAGAGGAGGTGAGCCCACAGAAAAAAGGATCCTGGTATCTGGAGTGGAAAACATTGCACCACAGTGTCCTCAAGGACAGAATCTATTCATTTATTGCATTGGTGAGTTCTAGAAGTTTCTGCATAAAAGTGAACCACAACAAAAGCCCAACAGGATAAAGGTAAGAAAGCAGGATGCCAGTCACTAGGCAGACAGGGCCTTGAATGTCCCCTTTCAGGTAACTTCACCAGCCCCAGGCCTTTGTGAAGGACCAGACTGCATCCCTGGCCTTTCTCTGCACCTGTCAGCCCAAACATCCTTCTTTTATTCCTTCAGAGCAGTAGTCCTGGGTCCTCTCCACAGCTGAGTTGCCTATAGAGCTTTTCCTACTTGCAGAGCTTGCAGAGAGGCAGATACCACTGGCCTAGGAAGGGCTCAGCCTCAGAATCAATCAAGTCAGGCAGGAGGCACATGCTTCCAGGATCCTTGGGTGCAAGGTCAGTATGTCTGTTTAAAATCTGATATTTTGTTCTTCGTATATTTTTTTAAATTTAATCTTGATGTTTTTGAAAATGTGACTTTACTAAAATATTACAATAACCCTCCCTTATGTTTTCCATGTTTTTAGTTACTCATGGTCAGCCACAGTCCAAAAATATTAAATGGAAAATTCCAGAAATAACTTATAAGTTTTACACTGAGTGCTATTCTGGGCAATGTGATTACATTCATACCGTCCAGCTACACACACACACCCAGGGATGGGAATCATCCCTCAGTCTAACCTGTCCACTCTGTGTATACTACCACCAGCGCGCGGACTGCTGAGCAGCCATCTTGGCTATGAGGTCCACTCTGATGGCACTGCATGGTTTGTCTTCCAGGAACCCTTACTTACTCACATAACAGGGTGTGTGGCACCATGGTCTCCATTTCATCTTATCACCTAGATGTCATGCTACCCAACAGTATCACAGGAAGTATGGGCCCCAGTATATTAAAATATTCTGACAGAAAAAGAATGTTCATCTCTCTCTTACTATGCCTATTCATAAATTTATCTTTACGTGTGGGCTGCAGGTCTTGGGATGATCCCCATGAATAAAAGGAGCTGCTACTTGACTTGGGGTGTCCTGGGGAGAACTGACGTCTTTGCTTGGTGCTCTGCCTGGAATGGAGTCACTGGGCACAGCTGTTACCCCAAAGCCTTCCAAACATGGAGCAAGGTTGACCAGCACTGCATCCACTGTGTAGCAGAGACCAGGAGGGCAGAGGTCAGGGGTGGCAGGGGTCAGGGGACAAAGGGCAGGGGCAGGAGAGCAGGAAGGCAGGAGGGAAAGGGGGCAAGGGACAGGGCAGCCCTGGACTTCTGAGTCCTTCCAGGGGGGAACCAAAAGCCTGACTTGGGGGCTCCCTCTGCTTCCTAGACATCTCAAGAGGGGCAGAATGACTTTGCTGCCCCTTGCCCAAGCTAGGAAATGTCTATAGAGAGGAAAAAAATACATCTATGCAACCCTCTCTTTCTGGAAAAGTCATCCAGATAATCCCTTGACACAGAACCCTTCAATTCTCTGAGGGAGCACATTAAATGCCTGCTCCTTGCTTCAATTGCTACTGCCTGTTATGGTTCTCACTGGGCTGAGGGGAAGCTTGCAATCCAGTAGGGATGAACTTTGATAATTATGACCTGCCACTTGCCAGATGCCATGCCAGGGTTACCTCAATAGCTTTTCAGGCCACTCCAGGGGACAGATACCACTGTCAACTTCATTTTATAGATGAGGAAAATGATGCCCAGAGAGGTCGGGGAATTTGTGAGAGGTCACACAGCTGGTGGAGGGTGAAGCTGGAGTCTGTTCCCTGTTATCCTGACCCTCCTCCTTGCAAGTCATCTGCCATTCTGACTGCAGGAACAGAAATTTCACATGTAGATCAGAGTCTGAAAAGCCGAGACCCCAGAGTGCAGTCATGTGGGAGCCTGGGTGAGTGTGCCTTCTAGCCACTGTCTCTGGGCCTCCGTTTCCTCATCTAAACAGAAGGGATATGAGAGCTGTGATGGCTGTTCTGGCCTTGACATGCCTGTGACTGAGCCACCTGTGTTGGTTTTCAGCAGTCACATGGCCTGCTGTTGTTGGTTTTTATAATGGAAAGGCAGTGGAGGAGTCACCTGCACGTCAGCAGACTTGGTCCTATGATCTGAAATAAAGGTCAGTGAGGACATCCAGGCCAGAATCCTGAAAACCACCTTGCTCATCTTCAGGCCACTATGTCAAAGGGTTTGATGTTGTTTGAACTCTGTGAGTCTTCTTCCCTGTTCTGAGTGTCCTGGCTCAGCTAAAGGTGGAAAGGCAGAGAGGCAGGTCTAGGAAAGTCCTGCTGGGCTGGAATAAGACTGGGCAAGCCTGCTTGAGGGGCCTTGGATGACAGGACGAGGAGAGCATGGAGCCCCAAAGACCTCAAGTGTTCAGGAGAGAGGAACTTCGGGAAATACTGGTTTATGCCTTGCTGTGAGGCAGGCAGGAACAAAGGTTGCCCAGAGCCAAGCCTGGAAGAGATGTTCTCAGCAGCCTGTAAGGGGCAGGGTGGCAGAAAGAGGTCCATGAGCCTCTGATGTGAAGCTGGACCCATCTAGAAGCTCAGGTCCATCTGTGGTCTCACAGGAAGGCTCAGAGGCCCAGGGGGCTAAGCATTTTCTTTCCAGGAAACAGAGTAGGTTGCCAACTTTTCCAGAGCCCAAGAGAATACTAAAAGCTGTGAGACCCAGGAAGTTGCAGTTACAGCCAAGCAGTTCCCTGTGTCATGACCATCCCTCATCCAAGGATCCTCCATAGCCAACTGTGACTACAGACTGAGTTCATAACCAGGACTGGGACCTTGCCCCTTTTGGATGAATGGAAGAGAACTCAGTAGCCTGCTACTGGTTTCTGTCACCATACAGTATTGTGCTGTCTCTCCCCAGCTATGGGAACACACAGTGGCCCCATCTTCCACATGTTGTTTCTCTCAGGGCTGGAGATCAATCCACCCTTTCTTGGTCTTCCTGGGAAATTCTGTGATCACCAACAAAGGAGATTATGGTCCACTATCACACAGAGTCTCAGAGTACCAAAGAGCTGTGATATGATAGGTTCCTTGGTGACTTTGCACAGAAACCCAGGCAATCCGTCCTTGGGTGAGGGATGAGGGGTTTATCTAAATCACCCCCCTTGGAGTGGTCCCAACTCTGGGGGATACTATAGTCCTTCATAAAATTTACAGTGGGACAGCATTCGTTCATCACGCTTGGTTCAGAAGCACTTGATTCTTGTGCATTTTGGGGCTCCATTAAACAGGGGACACAAGAGACTCAGGAGAGAAACAACAGGCCCTGCAGACACCGGTAAGTTCCCTTTCACCTGTGACCTCCTGACAATGGCAGGACCTTCTGCCCTGCCTCCTGTGCTCCTCCTTCCTGTCTCCTCCTTTCTTCCAGAGTGTCTTGGTCCCCAATTACTCTGCACTGCAGGAGGCCTGCCAGGGAAGAAATTAGAGCGACACATCAGCTATTCTATATTTACCACCTGATGGCCAAAGAGGATCTATCTTCTGCACAATTAAATGAAAAGAGTTTTAATATCAGCAGGCAAAGGACTCTAGCAACAATGGAGAATTAGGTTAGAGGCAGCAATTGGATTAGTGCCGAGCTGCAAGTGAAATGAAGACTTGGACACGAGAGGGTTATCCTTCTCCTAGTGACAGGTCCTCCCTTGGTGGGTGTGGGGAGGGTCTGGGATAGAGCTGGATTGGATTCCTGAAATTGGATCAGCTCCCATCCCTAGGGATGAGAGGCCTGATTCCTGTAACCCTCTGTGGAAGAAGGTCTTGCCAGGTGTGGCAGATGAGGGGGCACAGTTGTAGTTGTGGATACTGCCTTGTGCCCCACACCCATATCAGCTGCCACATTCCCAATTGAGAGCTAGACTTCCCCAAGGCTCTGTCATTTGTCCCTCCTCCCTAGGCCATCACCACCTTTCCCCAGGGCTGAGGTTGCCACCCTATACCCTCTGCCTCTTCCCTCTTCCAGTCGAATCTGCAACCATACAGTACGGGTCCTCGAGCCAGCCTCTCCCTCGAGGGTTCAATGGGAGGCAGAGGCATATAAATCCCCAGGTTACTGAAAACACAGCAAAAGATATGTGTAGAAGCCACAGACAATGATGGTCCCTTCCTTATTTTCAATTTCTTAGAGCTGTTTTCCCTAGGTTTAACAAATGCGAAATGCGTGAATGCCCCCAGTTTTGTTCGTGTTTGTCTAGGAGCATATTTCAGAGCTGCCTAGGGAGAGATGGCGTACTGCATCACGTTGATTCTGGCTGCCCTTTAACTTCTCTAGCTTCTGCTACAGCCCTGATTGCAAGCCCAGAGCCTTTAATGAAAACTACAGTAAGACTTTCTCATATGTTGCCTGTGTGTGAGTGTCACATCTCCTATCAGAGCCCTGGGAAGTGTATAAGCCAGGTTTGCCCTATGAAGACATGTAAGTCCCTGTCTTGTCTCTCTGGACAACAGAAAGGAAAACTCCACAATTGGGTCTTGTCTGATCACCTTCTGCCTCCTCATTGACACCAGGTCCTTCCTCTTGCCCAAATCTTCCAGGAAGAATCCAAGTTTGTTCAAAAGGAGACAGGAGTCAGCTGGAGCAAACCAGAAAACACCTGTCATTACCCCAAACTCTCATATCTGGCAAGCCCAAGTATGAACTTGGGATCCTGGATTGTTATCCCCAGTACAGGAAGCAAAATTAAAATTCAGGAAGTAAAATGCCCTCCAAAGAAGTAGTATTAGGGCTGGAGAGATGGCTCAGTAGTTAAGGGCTCTGGCTATTCTTGCAGAGGACCTGGATTCAAATCTCAGCACTCACATCGTGCCTAACAACCAACCATGACTACAATTCCAGGGCTCCAATACCCTCTTCTGACCTCTGCGGGCATTGCACAACATGGGTGCACTTACATGTGTGAAGGCAATATAGTCATATACATAAAATAAAAATAAATAAATAAATAAATAAATAAATAAATAAATAAATAATAAAATATTTTAAAAAGAAGTAGTATTATCGAAGATGGAACAGGACCTTCTAGTCCCAAGATAATGAACAAAGAGCAAAAGTAACCCGTAGAGCAGGTATCACTGTAGGATTGCACATTCTTACCACATAATCAGCATGATGAATAAAGGGTAGGTTTCCTGATATTCCACACCGAAAGCAAGAATACAAAAAGAATTGCTATAGAATGACTTCTAAATGCATCTGAAAGACAACAGTCACTCCTGTGTAGCCATAGGGTCTTTGTCTCAAGATACTCTCAGATGCCCAAATGTTCAGATGGCCAAATTCTTTATACAAAACAGCACAGTATTACATGTCACACACACACACACACACACACACACACACACACACACACACACATCTTATATATTTAAATGGGGTCTCACAGGGACCACTGTATACACATGGTCTCAGAGGTGTTCAAGGACCTCTGTACTCATGCTGTTCATGATTGTCTGTTACTTAGCTTAAAATATATTGGACTGCAGTAACGAGTGGCCCCACCTCTTGGTGATGCCAAACTGCACAGCTTTTACGTAGTTATGTTTCTTTCCCACTATGTGTCAGCTGGGCCTCTGTTTTGTGTCCCAGACAGATTCAACCTCTTCTGGAGCCTGAGGGAAAAATCCATTTGGAGCCACATGTACTGTCTCTTAGTGCTTTTGCCAGAAGACATATCCCACCTCTCCTACAGTCACAGGACACAGTCTGTCATGTGGCCACAACTATCTGCTTGTGGACACAGATGGACTGTAACCATATAGTACATAGAAAACAGTCAGCAGCAACCTGTGGTCTCAGCCCCCAGGAGAACTACAAGGGCCTTTCCGCTCTCTGTACTCTTATGAAAATTCCAGAAACTGAAACCAAACATGACACATTGTGAATGTGGTTTTTGTAAAAATAAACAAAAGTTGAAAAGGAACACTTATCATGTTCAGAGAGGCCTGGGCTGCACACCAAGGATGTTTAACAAGTCTATATCCATTAAGCTGTCTCCAGTGTCTGAGGTGTCTGTGTGTCATTTTTCATGCTTAAACATCTGACCTGCTTGCTTGTTTCCACAGCCAGTAGTCTAGTAGGGCTTGCCTTCCTCATCCTGACTACTTCATAGTCCCAAACAAAAGGGAAGTCGTTCTTTTCTGACAGAGTCCAGAAAGTGTCCTAAAGATTTTAGAAGGTGGCCCATGTAGTTGTTCCCTAGTGTCTCCCTGGAGGTCCCCACCTCATGCTCCCATTGCAACTGATTTTCTTGGTCCTTCTTCTTAGCAGCTGTTGTAGGCACCTCCACAGAGTCCCTCTATCCCTCCATTTTCTCATGTGTGAAGTAGAGAAGTTAACAGTCCTGCCTCACTGGGCTTTGCTGAAGCTTGATGAAGATGGCGCAGTTGACATGCTTAGAACATAAAGTCAGTAGTGTCTACAGGAGAAAATCATTGGCTATCTTTAGAAGTAGTTCAGCACCTTCCACATCCTGGACTTTTGTGAATGATGTTTCCTAGGCATGAGCTATGTGTTTATTCTTCCTCACCGGCCTTCGGCTGGCTTGAGGTGGGAAGAAGGTCCCTCCCTCCCTTAGATGCCCACAAGGAAGTCAGAGGCTGTCCCATGTCTGCCAGTGTTCCACTTGATTTTCTCCTACCTCCTTCAGAGCAAATATAGGTCACCAATTTCCTTCAAAGACCATGCTAGTCTTGTGTAAAGAATACCAACTTCTCTTCTAGATATATGTCTCACACATTCAAGAGGCTCCATGACTCCGACTCTAGTATTTTTCTTTCCCTAGCAGAGTCCTGACCGTGGGATCCATAAGCATGCATGGCCTAGGCAAAGTGCCTTATTCAAAAAGCCCAACTCCCAGATGAGTCAGCTGGGGCTGCTATAACAAACACCCCAGCCAGGGAGCTTCCACTGCAGAAATCTGTCTCCTCACAGTCCTGGAGGCCAAAAGCCCAGGATCGAGGCTTTGACAGACTGTGGGGCCTGTGGCCCTTCTCTTTGGCTTGTAGATAAGCATTTTCTCTGTTTCTTCATACGACTTTCCGTCTTACCTTCCTCTGCCCTGATAACCTCTTCTCATGAGTACCCCAGTCATACTGGCTTGGAGCCTCCCCAGGGACATCATTTTACCTTAATTACTTCTTTTAAAGTCCTAGTTAGGCTGCAGGTGCAGCTCAATGGTAGAGCACCTGCCTAGCATGTGTGATCCTAGATTCTACACACAGTATTGCCAAAAATAAAAAGTTCTATAACTAAATGACCATATTCTAAAATAGTGGGATTTGGAATTTTGACATGTGGATTTAGGGGAGACCTGAATAGCCCACAGCACCTGCCACTCTCAAGATGCAGCCCTGGTGTCAGGGGGATAAGTTTCTGTTCATCTCACAGCAGGTCTATGCTATGAGCTGCTTGCTCTGTTACCCCGCCTCTAGCCAGCTCCTCCACCACCTCCTCAAAGCTGAGTTCCTCTCCTGCAGGAAGTCTTCTCTCTGCCCCAGCCACAGCCCCTTCCTGCCTTTCAGCCTCTCAACCCCTACCCCTGCTTCTCAGCCTGGGTTCCTATAAAGGAGGTAATCACCCAGCTGGGCCCTGTACAGTGTGTAAGAACAGGGTCATGTAAAGAGATGAGGGAAGGAGGCAAGGAACAGGTCTCTTAGTGTTCTGGAGATAGCTGCTGGGGAAGGCCGCCATAGGCCCTGGAGGAGATATTTAGGATTTGGGAGCAGGAGTGTACCTCGATCTATTTGTCCTCCCCAATCCCTTCCCTATCAAAAGGAGCCCCGACCCAGTCCTCCTCAGTAAGAGTGAATGGCTAGCAGATGGTCCAGATGTTTCCAAGGATTCCTACGCCTCCATGTCCTGAGAGGGCCAAAGGGCAGCCCTGTCGTTTCCGGGTGGAGAAAAACAAGGCCAGTGAACTTCCTCATCTTCTCCCCACTTGTGCTTCAAATCCCTGCCGTCTGCCTCTATTGCCTTGACTGGTTGCTCTTTTGGCTTCAGGCCTCACAGCTGCAAGCTGTTCTACTGTGGATAAGGAGGAATCAAAGGCAAGGACCAAGCCAATCTTTGGGATCTGGTATTATTTGTTATTGTCAATGTGTTGTATCACTGGAGCAGTCTCTGGCACATAGGACAACAGAGGTTCAACAGAAATTTTTAAATACATGAATAACAAAGATGTGCAAACTGTCTCTGAATCCAGTGTACTGTATGGGTAGAAGCATGGTGGAGATGGCAGAGTCCTCTCTGTGGCCCAGTCAGTGAGGGCCCCCTGGAGCACCAAGAGAAAGCAGGAAGGGTCTGAAGCAGTGAACTTGACCTCTACTTCTGCGTAAGGAGAGCAGGAGTAAAGAGAAAGTTCTAAATGCTAGTGATTTAGTGAGTCCTCTGTCACTGAACATGCAAGGTATACGCCATGGCACTGTCCAGAAGAAGCTGAGGGCTGCAGGCCTGATGGTGACAGAGCTCTGAACCAGACCTGGCTGAACCTCCCTCCAGCACCTGGTCAAGCCCCTTCCTTTTGTTAGCCCAAGTTTCTTGGTCTCCTATGTGGCAGGAAGAGGTCAAAAGCCCCTCTGTCCCTAGTAATCAGGTTTCTTGAGGCTTGAAAGAGTCTGTCCCAAGAGGGTAGACTATGCTCTACCCAGGTCTGCTCAGAAGGGACTGTCCATCCCCAAAGGAGAATGGGGAGCACGGGAGTTCAGAGCCCTGGTAAGATTAGGCGTGCAAAGGGTTCGGTGAGAACTGACTTTGCCCTGACTCCCACGCCTTCAGCAAGCCCTGCAGGCTTTGGGAGCTCTGAGTTCCATGGCCCCAGGGGTGCTGGAACATCCATGGAGGCTTAGTGGGGTCAGGGCCATGGCATTCTCTGGGAGAACCCAGACTGCATGCAGGGGCTCCGAAAAACATGTCTAGAGCAGTCAGAGGGCCTCAGGCTGGAAGGCAGGAGGTCTGGTCTCAGCCCCCATTTGGATTCAGATTCTTAATGTGGCCCTGGGCAAGTCATTCTCCCTGCCTCTACCTGCTCACTGGAAGTTTCTGAGTTACGAAGAACTAAGGTTTGGCCTGGGGTGCCCATAGAAACGGTCTCCTGATCAGGAGGCCCTCAGCCTCCCCAGGCTATGAGCCCTGGGAGGGAAGTGTAGATAGACTCTCTGCCTTGAATATATGTGTGAGGAGTCTTCTCCACAAAACAGGTTTGCAGGAGGCAGTGTGGGGCCAAGCCCTGGAAGGATCCCACACAGGGAAAGGTCATGGGCAAAGAGAAGCATCAAAGGCAGATCTGTAGGTGATCTTGGCCTCAAGGGACTTGAGAAGGAAGCTTTGGGGAACTCAAAGGAAAATCAGAGTTCCAGTCCTCTTTATACCTATTTTTATTCTATTTCATTGCCAAGCACTTTTCTTACCTTTTCTTCCTATCCCAAAAATGTAGTTTCTTCCTCATCATAATGATGTATTGGGCATTTAAAATCTATAAGACATGGTGTCAACTAATTGCCCATCACCACAACCCAGTAAGTGAGACGCAGCTGGAGACATGCGATACCAAACACACTAAACAAAGACTTCTACACTTTGGGGCCATATACTCCAGTGCAGAGAGAGACAAATGATAAGAAAGCTAAATAAATGAGCTAAGTGGTGTTTTCATAGGAGCTGACATGCAGAAGGATGTGAAGTGAGGGAGCACCAAAAGGCCTGGAAAGGCTCCCGCTGTTGAAGGGGCCATCTACTCAGGGGCCTCACTGAGGTAAAAGAGTGAGCCATGTAGGCACCTGACCTGCAAAGACTCTGGAGAAGGAACAATAAGTAGGCCAGCATGCTGGAGCTTTGTCAATGAGGAGAAAAGGGAGACGGTCCTACAAGGCAGGACACATAGGCCTTTCAAGCCTTGTGGATTCCTTGGACAGCCCTCAGCATTTCATCTTGAGGGAAGTAAGGAGCCTTGGGAGGACTTGACAAGTAACAGAATTTCTTTTGAGTGACAGAGACTCCAGGAAGAGCAGGCAGGGTTGGGGAGTTGACTGGCTACCATATTGTTCAGTGACTCCAACCCCGACTTGGACCCAAATCCAGCTTATTCCAGATTCTAGGTGTCACCACTGAGGAGGAAGAAGCCAGTCAGTCCTGAAAGTGAGCCCTGGGCTGAGTCCTTGGCCAGGGAGGGAGGCATGAGAGTCTGCCCTGCCAGGCTCTGAGCTGCTCTGAGGGAGTGTGGGTTCCTGTGGTGTTTCAGTTCCAGTGGGCCTAAGAATAAGTGTCTGTCCCTCCAGCTCGGGCTGCTCACTAAGGAGGGGTTAAGTGAGAGAAAGGGGAATAGTGAAGCCCTGGGGCTGAGTGAGCCTGGCTGGGCTCAGGGATTGCTCAACAGGCTCTACTAGAGCCAGACAGACTCCCTTCGGCCTGGTCCCCTCCCCACATGCCACAGTCCATTTCAAAAGACTAACAGAATCCCTCAGGGCAGGGCTGGAGGAACTAGCAAGAGCCACTACCCAGGGTTCAGAAAGGAAAAGGAAATGACCAGGAAGGGAGGGTGGTGAGGATCAGACCCCTTACCCTGAGCCAGGGCATCCAAAGCTCAGAGGCACAGCTACAGCTAGGTGGAAACTAGTGACCAAGAGCTGAGCTTAGGACTGTGTAACTTTGAGCAAGCAGATGAAGCTCTCTAGGTCTCAGTTTCTTTGTCTGTGGAATGGGCTGAATATGCTTTATACTTTATGAGGATTCGAGGATGATAGGGCTGGAGAGATGGCTCAGAGGTTAGGACCACGTGCAGAGGATCTGGATTAAGTTCCTCATACCCACATGCTGGTTCACAACTGTCTAATTCCAGTTCCAGGGGCTCTGACTCTTGCTCTGGCCTCTATGGACACCAGACACCAACACGGTACACATATATATACGCAGGCAAACTTACATATAAAAACTTTTAAGGTTATACAATTGGTGGGCTTAGCACACAGTCTGCATGTGGCAAGTGCTGGTTATACAGGGTCCCTTTCATTATTGCCCAACCCATAATGCTATTGGTGCCCAAATCTAGACCTGGTTCAGCACTAGAGAGCAGGGTTGGCAGGGGGACTTGTAGGATTGACCTGATGGGAGCCTGGTCTGTGGGGAGAGGAGGGGGAAGGAAATTAAAACAGAACACTGGGGAGAAGGCCACCTGCAGCACTTAGCTTAGCCTGCTTTCTCCTTATCACTGCGTCACTGAGACATCATGAAATGCCTGCCTGCACCTGAAGCAATACCAAGCTCTGTCTTCTACTCACTTCTAACTCACTAGAATAGTCAAGAAGTTTCATGTGTTTGGTCACAGCCCAACACACACACAAAAGATTAGCAAGATGATATAAAGTGTCAGCCCCAGTCTGGAACCTGCTGGACTTGCCCATACAAGCCTGGCATAGGCTAGTGGGAGTGTATGTCCATAGCCTTCTGACTGCCTTCTCCAGATCCCCAAAGAGGCACAACAGGGCCCATCAAGGAGACCTAGGTATCAGATGTCCAGTGTGAAAACTCGGTTTAGAAGGCTGCTTCAGGGCCTCTGAACAGAGCCATCCTCGAGGACTGTGCAGGGTTTTGCCTACTTTAGACATATTCAGACAGAGACCAGATGACTGCCCGCCAGTCAGCCTGCTCAGCGTGAACGGGCTCAGAAAGGATCAAGGGACTCAGCAGAGGCCATTTGACATAGCTGTTAGCAGAGACACTTTGCTGCTAGACTGTCAGAGGTCACATGCCAAGCCCATTGTCACTCACGTTCATAGCTGTGTGCAAATCACAGTGCTAGCTAGCTGCCTTCTCCCTATCTGTGAAGAAAGGCTGGTTATAATGGCTCAATGGTTCTTTAAGGAGTGTGTATGCACACACATGAATGCCTGGCACTCAGCTCATTCTTCATTGCTCAGTCAGATGCAGCCGCTCCCTGGCTGCAGACCAGGAAGGTTGTGTGCCAACAAATACCATATGGGGCCTCCAGGTCCACAGCCTCTGTACTGGTGAGCCAGGTTATCCTGGGGACTGGTGGATGGGAGCAGGGTGGACCTGTGTCTACCAATTGAGGCCTTCAGTCAGGTCCACCCTGGAGGACCTCAGCAGACCCCATTCACTGTTCATGAACTCACTGGCCTTGGAGAAGATTCATTCACAAGATCACGGATGGGTCTTTGCAAGGACACAAAATGCTAGCCAAGTCCTCAGCTGAGAAGCCTTGCCACAAGTCTAGGTATGGTGTATGGGGCCATCCTCAGGTTCCTCCATAGGAACACGGAGAGTCTTGAGCCCATAAGTTCAGGAGAGGCCGAGCCTGGGAAGAGAGCTCTGTAGACTGCTGTTCCATTCACTATGTTCCCAGGAGAGCCACCTGAGTTCCCACAGCATCATGCCCCAGACCTTTTTGGACGCCAGGGTTTCTTCCTGATGCACATGCAGCCAATGCCAATACTGAAAGCCAGAGAAAGCTCTTCAGGACACATGCTGTTCAGCCACCCAGAGCCCAGACAGCCTGCCCTCTCTTTAGCCCAGTCTCACCCTGGTGTCAGGAAGTCGTGTCTTCCAGAAGTTCCACAGTGACAAGCCTCATTACCTGACCTCAGGGAGACTCAGTCTCTCCTCTCAGGGGCACAGGGAGATCATGCCTACCTCCTCAAGCTGTGGAGAGGGAAATCAAAGGCTGCATGCAAGTAACCAGCACAGCGCTTGGGCAGCTGCTGGTCAAATAAGAGTTGGGCTTTCTCTTGCTCATGCTGCCCAGCCAGACCCTGTCTTCCCCAGAAGCCTCTGCTCCCAGCAGAGCCTCCTCCCCCCTGGCCTCTTCCGGGAGCCTGGCTCTGTAAGCAGGTCTTGTGGCGGCAGCCGCAGCCTTAATTTTAGTTCTGGGCTGGGTAATTTCCCGTGATTACAGGCCCTGTCAGTACAGCAAGCACTCCAGCTGCTAGGAAGCCAGCAGGCCTCGTCAGGGCAGGGCCAGGCACACGTTCACACACGTGCCTCATGCTTGGGGACACATGTTCCCTCATGTGCATGTTTGTGCACTCACAAACACTTGCACACATATACATGTACATGTACACATGCACACTTACCCATTCTTTCAGGACCAGGAACCAGGGATCCTCAGCCAAGCCATGTGCACACTGCTTATGCCATGTGGATGCTACTGGAGAGAACTGTCTATGACACACACACACACACACACACACACACACACACACATACACACACAGCTCCCCCATGGCAAATAACAAGTCTGACAACACAGAGACAACATATAGAAAGGGATACTATGCAACAAGGACTTTTACTGACCCCCACTCTCCTGCCAGAATCTTCCTTCTCTCCCTCTGATGCTCCAGGCTAGCACTAGAAAGAGATGTCCCCATCTCTTTCCCTTTGAATACCCTAAGCATTCTGTGTACATATGCTTGTGTGTACACGTGTCAATAGACACTGTTTTCATGGTCTGGCTGAATTCTCCAAAGGTTCATGGGCTAGAAGCTACAAGCTGAGGTGGCAGTGTTAGAGTGGGGAAATTTTAAGAGGTAGGACCACACGGTGGGTAGTTAAGTCACAACCGCTCTTGGAACTAATGCTGATATTGGGGAATGGGTATGTTCTCAAGAGGATGGGGGAAAGCAACTCCTGCTGTCTCCATTCTGCCTCCTGCCTTGTCCTGTGATACCCTACTCCCCATCTCACAGATTCTCCCACAGTGATGCATATACCATGCAGTAAGGCAGCCCTGGGGCCCTCATCAGATCTGAGAAGATGCTGGCTTCGTGCCCTTGGACTCCTAGAACCATGAGCTAATTAAGGGTCTTGCTTTTATGACTCACTTAACCTCGGGTATTTTGTCATAGCAACGCAAAACAGTTTAAGATAGACATCTGCTAATGGGTCTTGCCTATGACCCTCTCCATCTGTGGATGCAACAGTAAATGAGACAGAGGAAGAATCAGCCATAAATATGGAATGATTCAATATCATACAATTGATCCTTACTGTACAGATTTCATTTGTGAATTTCCTGCTCTCTAGCTCCAAAGTCAATACTCACCACACTCTCTCAGCCATTCTCAAACATTTCAGTAGTTTGACACATAGATTCCCCAGCTAAGGACAAACAAGGGCACTCTGCCTTCTTGTTCTAGATCCCATCCGTCCTTTTAAAAGAAGTTATCAGGAAGATGGTAGGGCCTGCTTTGTCCTTATTATATGGGCTGTGTCCTGTGCAAGCCAGGAAGGCCGCAGTGTGGGGTCTGTGGGGAGCCTGCTGTAACATGAGGTGGCTTACCCTAGACTATAGCACGGCAGGTAGTAGCAAAAGGGTGGATTCAGGATGCCATGGTGAGGCTGAAACATGGGAGCATTCTACTTGGTTGGCTGGGCCAAGGAGGAAAAGGGGTGATGGAATGATTGCTGGGATGTGGGGGGGGGGGACGGACTGCTGGACAGATGAACTAATATCCTTGGACCTGGGAGCCAGGGCAGTCCCCTGTTAACTGTCCCATGGAGCAATTCTACCCCACGGAACACTCAAGGATGCAAACTCAAGTCTGAAGGGGGACTACTTGGGTAAATCTGGTATCCCCTATGAGAGGTCTGCCTGCTGAAGATGCCCAGGCCTCACATGGCTTGCTGGGGTAGATTACTCTGAGTCCTGCCCTCCATCCCATCTCCTGCAGGTGGCTCCCTGTGTTATAGTATCACAGAGCCCACCTTGGAGTCACTTCCATACGTGCACAGTCCATCATTGAAAGACTCAGTTGTCAAACAGGACATAGTCTCTACCTCATGCCAGCTGCCTTCCCTGGCCTCCCTCAAACCCACACCTACTACCTCTATGGCAGCTTAGCCACCCTGAAGATCTGTATCTCACATATCTTGGTTCTCCATCCTCCTGTATCCTCAAGGCAGGGACAAGTCTGGGGCTCTTACCTCTGACTCTGGTGTCCCTGGGAACAGCTCCTGGAGGTGGCAGGACACAGAAGATCAGGAGTTATGGATCCCGGTCCATATTCCTGCCAATCTGAATAAGGGGCTTCCATAGACATGGACAATGGACAGAGCCATGACTTAGTCTAGGATCAAGGCCAGGCCGAGGTGTTGTCTGGACTGAGCCCTGACATGAAGGGATTGGCCGTAGAGGCCATCACACAGTGCAAGGCTGCAGGCTGAGTACCTAGAGACCTTCTGTGAGGAGCAGGAAGAGAGGGGCCCTCACACTCCACCCTAACCTACTCCTGTCTGCTGGCTTCACACTGTGACTCCACAGGCTGCTAGATGTCGGGAGGGGCTCTGTGACAGCCATCTGTCCAGCAAGAACCTAGAGCTACTCATGCCAGAGCCACGCCCAGCAGAACCGTGGACCTTGCCGGTGCCATGGCGATGCCATCTCCGCCAGCCTTTCCCAGCCCGGTAACCATGGGAATGTACTCAGGGCTGCAGCTGCTTATGCAATTGGCCTCTGAGGGAGGGAGACTCACAGGCCGACCTTGCTTCAAGGAAGCCAGAGCCCCAAAAGGGGGCTGCTAAGTTGGGTATGTCCCCCACTGAGGAGAAGATGGAAGATCACACAAACCTCCATCATGTAGACAGTAACCTGCCTGGCCCTGCAGGGAAGAGAAGCCAGAAAAGAGAAATCATGGGAGGTATGGGGGGCGGTGGTGGCAGAGCAGAGCTTATCTGTATATGAGAAAGCTCCAATTGCCTCTGGCAACTCCAGGGCCCAGATGTTGGGTATCGTACAGACAAAACAACTGAATTAGCCGCTATTCCAGTTCCATTGCAACTGGAACCTGGGGCCTCCTAGAGGAAAGGCTGAAGAGATGAGAATGAGCTCAAGAGTCAGCCAGAAGAGCTCTGTCCACAGGAAGAAACTTATGCACACAAGTGAGCCAACCAGAATAGACTGCCTGCCTGCCAAAAAAAGAAAAAAACCTCCAAACAAAAAACAAACTTCTTGTTGGTCTCCAAAGCAGGGGTCTATCCCTAAGGCAGTGCTGTCCTGACGGGCTCCAGGGCCTGCCCTACCTAGCAGCCCCTAAAGTCGCAGGGATAAGCCATCACAGGTAGGACCCAAGGGCAAAAGGTCAGGGCTCCCCATGGCAATTGCTGCCTCCCCAGGTGCAGTCCCTCTTGGCCCTGACCTCCTCTCTCCATGTCACCTTATTCCTGCCAAGTCCCAGTGCCTGAGATCCCTGGCCTTCTTTCCAAGTGCAGGAGGCTCTGGCTCAACGCCTCCTAGCCCCTCAAGTCTCAGCCTTCATTCTGGTGAACAACAATTCCCAGACCAATGGCAGTCACATCACTCTAGCCTTACAGTCCCCTCCCTTCTTGTCTCCAGTGGTTTCCTGGACTCCCCACAACCTCCTCTCTCGTTCTGCCAGGAGCCTTTGAAGCTGCTGTGAGCTGTTCCAGCAGTGCAGTAGAGCCTCCTGCATGGACAGGCTCTCCCCTCCCAGTGCTCCTCCTCAGCACTCCGCTCCAGCCTGACACTCAGCATCCCAGTTCCAAACCCCATTCAGTCAGCATCCTTCCCCTTAGCTTCATGGCCACTGTGCAAGCTCTCCTGCAAATGTGGCAAGGTCTCTTGGGCCATATTTTTTTTAATATTAAATTTATTTTTATTTTATTTTATGTGCATGAGCATATTGCCTACATGCATGTAAGTGCACCCATGTCATGCAGTGCCTACAGAGATCAGATCCCTGGAACTGGAGTTATGGATGGTTGTTAGCTGCCATGTGGGTTCTGGGAACCAAACCCAGGTCCTCTACAAGAGTGACTAGTGCTCTTGACTACTGAACCATCTCTCCAGCCCCATCTTGGGCCATCTTTGAGGCTAACCTGCCAAGCTGAGGTTCAGTACTGTGTTCTCTATGCAGACTCCCCAAGGTCAGTTTGAGGGCCCCATACTGACTCAGGCAGAGCCAGGCTGCTCATATCAGCTGGCAATTCCTGCATAGCCCTAGCGCTTATTCAGCCTCTTCTACCAGCATTTCCCGTCTCATGCCAACTTCTGGGCAAACACCCTCTTCCCGACCACACCCCAACCTGGGTTCTAGGCCCTCCTCAGTCCTCAGCAACCGTCCCTTGCCTTCTCCACACTACCAGCCCTCAGTGGCTCCATCTCTATCACAACAGTATTTACTTCTTCTCACAGCCAAGCACAGCCACTCCTTCGTGGACCACTTGGACCTCACACTTCCTCCTGGTACCTGGGACCTCCTCTCCTCCCCTAGGCCAGCCTCAGACAGGGGCTGCTGCTTGTGCTGCCCCCACTTTCCCACAGCCCATTCATTTCTCGGTACTCTTCCATCTGGTTCCCACGTCCGTCAGTCCTTTGCCAAATCTGCTCTTGCTGTGAGCTGTGCTGCCAAATCCAGTGGATGCGTCTCAAGCCTCCTCTTGAAAGGATACTCAGACCCTTCTCCAGCCGCTCCTTGCCTCGCTCTTTGTTTGGCCCCACGATCCCACATTCATCTGCTTCCCTCCCACCTGTCTCTCTGGCTGCTACTTCTCAGCCTCCCTAGGAACTCCAGCTCTCAGTCAGACTGGGGAACAGTTGGGTCCCTCTGAATCAGGTCGAGCTGCTGCCTGTGTTGTTCCTCACCAGAGGGTTTCAGCCTGTTCTTGGTGTTGAACCCCAGCAATATTCCAGCAACCATGATCCCCAGTTCCAAACTAGGTCTCTTCTCCGCCCCACTGCTCCCTAA